ATCACCGTTAGGCATACAGAAAGGGAGAGTTCACTCAAGAGCTATATGTTTTGCAATTAATAAGGCATAAAGGAATCCTTCCCAAACTTCTGCTTGGGGTGCTGTTTAGTGACATAATGATGGTAGCTTCCATTTATTAAGCCTTTAATACATGGCAGGCAATGTCCGAAGTCGTTTCTCTGTAGGATCATATTACAAACTTAATTCTACTCTTACAGATGAGGAAACCAAGGCACAGAGCACTTTAGTAATTTTAGTAATTGCTAATTAGGAGGCAAAACTGGATGTGAACCAAGTCTGTCTTCTGATTATTGTCCTATCCTCCCACTGTGACGGTTTATGGAGCTTTCAAGACCCTGGGTGCTTGCATTCTCCACTCTGATCTAGGACAGTGCTTCTCAGCCTGTGCAAAGTGAAGAACTGGTTTGTTTGCTTGTTTGTTTTGTGCAATCTGCCATTAAACAGAATTCAAATATGCCTATAGATTCCCACCACACAAGACTCAGAACCCAACCTGCTCAATATCCTATAAGATAATCTTCTGACCACTTCTTGGATGGTGTAGTAAAGTCAAAACACTATGAAATTTTAAGATCTAAACACTTCCTCTCAATTTATGTGTTTTTCTCATTGTGGACCAGTAACAAACAGTTCACAGACATGCACTGTCCACAGACCACACTTTGAACAGCAGTGATGTAGGACACTTTACGTGTAGCCCCCTAATCCTAAAAGGCAAGAGGGCCACTTAACAATGATTGGTGTTTGTATGTACAGGTACATCTTAGAGAAGGAAAGTCCAACATTAAAAAAAAAAAAAAGCAAAGACATTTATAAAAAGGTAGTTCGCAGACCTAAAAGCATGTTTCATATTATAAATCAGTAAGATGCAATCGTCTAACAGTAGAAGAACAGAACAATAATTCTGGTGAAGCCATTCACTGGAATAGTACACAGTCATTGGAGAAACAGATACAATGCTAAATAGAAAACAAGAGTAAGATATATCCAGTATAATCTTATCCCTAACACATCAATATCTGCTATCAAGAAAGGACTCCAGGGGCGCCCGGGTGGCGCAGTTGGTTAAGCATCCAACCCTTGCTTTTGGCTCAGGTCATGATCTCAGGGTCATGGGATCAAGCCCCACGTCGGGCTCCGGACTTGGCACAGAGTCTGTTTGGGATTCTCTCTCCCTCTACAACTCTCCCCTACACACTTGTATGCACTCTCTCTCTCCAATAAATAAATAAATAAATAAATAAATAAATAAATCTTTTTTTAAAAAAAGGATTCTATAAACTATCTGGTTTTTAATTATAATTTGGTAGATGACTTTAGCTAGCATCAATTTTTTTCCTTAACATACTTATTAATATCTCATTTTAAGAAAGCTGTTATAAATTCGGGGCACCTGGGCGGCTCAGTCAGTTAAGCATCTGCCTTCGGCTCGGGTCATGATCCCGGGGTCCTGGGATCAAGCCCCGCATCGGGCTCCCTGCTCAGCGGAGAACCTGCTTCTCCCTCTCCCTCTGCCTGCCGCTCTGCCTACCTGTGCTCTCTCTATCGCTGTTAAATTAAAAAAAAAAAAATCTTAAAAAAAGAAAACTGTTATAAATTCATTCTAAGTTGTAAATGACTAATAACTCATAATATTTTCCAGGGAGCGTTTGCCTTTTAATGGGAGACATAGTTAGCAAAAAGGCATTAATTGTCAAATTTCAATCAGCGATGCATTAGGAATATTACTTTGAAATCAGGCAACTGAAGAGGCCAACTGGAATCCCTAATATATATGGTATGTACCTCAGAAGCTTGGTCCCAGCGCTTCTCCTTCCAAATGAAAAAACAAAGGTCTTTGCCTACACCAACAAACTATGAGACCAAAATATAGACGGCTGCCTTGGTCACCCACTTAGGTCGTATATATAGGGAGGCTTTTGAAATATTTAGGATTTAAAGGTCACCTACTTCCCAAAAGATTTTTAAAACAATGGATGAAAATTTAAACAATTCAATTAGGGGCACCTGGCTGGCTTAGTAACAAGAGTGGGCAAATCTTGATCTCGGGGTTGTGATTTAGAGCCCCACACTGAGAGTAGAAATTACTTAAATAAAACTTAAAAAAATATATTTAAAAATTCAATTTAAAAAAAGCACAGAATAAAAACAGTTCATAGTGTCTGAAAAATAGATATAAAGATTGTGAAGCAATGAATTTACATTTTCCTCCTAGAACACAGCATTATTTTTTACTCAACAAAAACGTACTGATTGTATCTCTCATAGCACTTCCCACAGTAGGTGTTTAAAATGAGCAAATTTGGGGCGCCTGGGTGGTTCAGATGGTTAAGTGTCTGCCTTCGGCTCAGGTCATGATCCCAGGGTCCAGGGATTGAGCTTCATGTCGGGGCTCCTGGTTCAGCGGGGAGCCTGCTTCTCCCTCTCCCTCTGCCTCTCTCCCTGCTCATGATCTCTCTATCTCTGTGTCTCAAATGAATAAAATCTTTAAAAAAAAAAAAACAAGCAAATTTAATCAAAGTACATCAACTTCAGGGTTTAACCATTTCTTCCTAAGAAACTTGTGGAAATCAGTACATAAAGTATGAAGTATTGGGCAAATTCCAAAGCAATAGTATATTCTGATAATTGTTTGATTTTTCCACTTAGCCATTTAAAGCATCTCAGACCTGAAGTACATTATGTACATTAAGTGTTATCGCTTTATAATGTATTTAGAACTCAACAGACTCCCTTTCCCCTCACCTCACCATCAGATGATCCACGTAGGTCGAATTTGGTGTCAAGCAAATTAAAAGTGTTATTTTATTATCCAAAGTAATTGTTTCAGTATTAACAGGCCATTATGCTGAATTGGTTATGCTGGTGATTATGCCATTAAGAATGTGGGGCTAACTACTGGTTTAGCTGAATGCCCATATTTGTGAAAGCCTTCTTTACGCTCTCCTATAGATGGCAAATCATTCTTAACTGGGTACTCCAAATGGTCTGTGTACCTCAGATGTATTTTTCTAAGCCATTAACACATTGAAGCCCCTCCCCCAATTCCCCAAGCAACCGTTAATTAACCGTGTAAGAAGAAAGAATCAGGCTTGCCATTGCGATGCGGCTGGGACCAAACCTTTCAGCAATGATCTTGCTCAGAACTAGACAGTCATTGGATGAGATCTCTTACTCACATCAAATATGCTATCATTGGGGGTGGTGGTGTTGGGAGGGAAGGGTGTTAGAACAGTGCTTTTACTGAGCTTTTTTTTTTAAAGAGATTTATTCATTTATTTATTTATTTATTTATTTAAGAGAGAGAGCAGGAGCAGGGGGAGGGGCAGAAGGAGAAGCAGACTTCCCACTGAGCAGGGAGCCTGACACAGGCAGGGCTCGATCCCAGGACCCTGGAATCATGACCTGAGCCAAAGGCAGACACTTAACCAATTGAGCCACCCAGGCACGCCATGAAGAGCAGTTTTTAAAAAATCTGCGGGCTATGGATGTTTTTGAAGGCTTCAAGGTATCTCAATCTTGTGAGGAATTTTGAAATGAACCGCTTAACCTGGCCCTCAAATAGTTCCCATATCTGAGGACTCACTAAGTGCTAAGCCCTATATAAGGTGATTCAGGTAGCATCACTGATGCTTACAGATTCTTTTTTTTTTTAAAGATTTTATTTATTTATTTATTTATTTGAGAGAGCGAGAATGAGAGAGATGGCGCATGAGAGGGGGGAGGGTCAGAGGGAAAAGCAGACTCCCCGCCTAGCAGGGAGCCCGATGTGGGACTCCCCGGAACTCCAGGATCATGACCTGAGCTGAAGGCAGTCGCCCAACCAACTGAGCCACCCAGGCACCCCGATGCTTACAGATTCTTGCCAGGTTTCCTGTTTTACAGATGGAGAAAAGAAGCTTAGAGAGGAGAATCTACCCAAAGCCTCATGGCAACCTGGAAGTTACGTGAAAGATCTACTTGGTAGGCTTCTATTGCATAGCGACTCCCTAAAACACCACAATCCAGCTCCAAGTTTACAGTCAGTGCCAGAGGGGTAGCACATACCTAAGAACCATATGATTAATCATAAAGCCAACAAAACCCACAAAAACACCCAGAAACAAACATCATGAGAAACAGGCAAAATCTGTGATACACACTCACAAAGGAACATTCTCACGTAAGACTCAGAATTGTGAAGAAACCAATTCTCCCCACAAAGTAATCTATATATAAAATGCAATTCTAATGAAAATCCCAAAAGGATCTTCTTTGAACCCTTAAAAAATGATTCTAAAATCTATCTGGAAGAATAAAAACTGAAATAGCCAGAAAAATTCTAAAAATGAATAGTAATGAGATATTAAAATGTGTGGTCCTGGCACAGAAATGTACAGAGCCATCAAATGACCATGGTAGAGCCCAGAAAGTATATATGGACATTTAGTACATAATAAAAGCAGCATTTTATACCAGTGGGAATAAGACAAATTATTCAAGAAATGATCTTGAAAAAACTAGCTAGCCATTTGGAAAAAATAAATAGAGCTGGATCCTAGTCTCATTCTCTATACTGAGTTAAATTCCAGAGGGATCAACAATTTAAATATAAAAATTGGAACTGTAAAATAGCGGAAAAAAGAATAAAGATTTTTATTATCCAGGAAAAATGGCAGTCTTTCTTATCATGAGTCAAAGGTCAGAAATGAAAAGGGAAAACCTGATACATTTTATTTCATTAAAAAAAGGTAAAATCCCTGTAATAAAAAAAAGCAAATGACGAACAGAAAAATAATTGCAACAAACATGATTTGCAAAGAGTTAATATCACTAATCTAAAGAGTGTATAAAATACTTTCTTTATATTTTCCAAAAAAATCACTTGTTTTTTTACAATGAACATATACCACATTTCTACCAAGAAAAATAATAAAACTGTTTTTATTTTTCAAATGAAATATTTGTTTAACCATGCCTATTTCCTCCAATATATAACTTCCAATATTTAAAGGAATGGAGCAACCACTTTAGATCACATTTTGCAACCCTAACCACAGGAGGTCTCAAAGTTGGATGTGCTTAAGAATCATCTGGGAAGGTTTTACTGCTGATAAAAGGGTAAAGGAATTTGCCCTTAAATTTAACAAGCATCTTGATGTGTCTCACCTGTTAATCTCACTTCGAAAACTATCATAGTAGCATCTCCAATTACAGAACATTTTACCCTGCAAAAAAGTACACTGAGAGACTGTCTTGAATTCGGCAGGAGATGAAGGAAGATCTCGTGCTTCTTAAAGCAGCTCCATTGGCCATTGAAGAATTGCTTTCTCTGTCTCCTAGTTTTGGTGGCCTCTTAAGATCTGATGTTAAAATGTTGGTGCCAAATAAAACTTATTATCTAGGTTTTATCCTCAAGCTCTCGTACATTTTATGCCAGAAAACCAATTCTGTGTATGACACTGTATTCTCCATAGCTCTATGATGTGAAGTATGGGCTCTGTCTTCTGCAGTTAAATGACCTTTGTAGGAATTCAATCTTCTGCGTATAGTCCGAATTCCATTTACTAAAGATGCCATATATGTCTCCTAGGTGAAAAAAAAATTGGATTCCTTAATGGAACTTTCCTGCTTTATCTTGACAATCTGGGTTTTTTTTTTTTCATAAATTTGGAATGACTTTTGCAAGTTTCTATTGGCTCTTCGTTCCCTCCTTAGTTTTAATTTCAGTGTTAGGAGCTTCACAGGCTTTAAGTGTTGAGACACTAGTACAGTTCACAAGGTATGTGTGATTTATTCAAATCTATTTTGTTGGAATAGAAACTTCAGATTTGAAGTCAATTGATGACATGTCTAGATTTAAATGAGGTCTACTCTGGGAGATCTTTCTATAATTAGGTTTTTTGAAGGATGTGATGGCCTTAGAAATTGATCACTGTTTCTGATTTTTTTTTCTCTTTTTTCATGTTTTAGTGACAAACAGTTAGGTCCTAGCGCACCTACATATTTGGGCTTGCAGTAATTTCTCTCTTTATAAGTAGGTATTGTCATACTAGGTAAAAACAATTCTGTTACCTTTTTATATTTCATCTAACATTGAGTCCTTCCTTCCTTCTTCATTCATCATTTGATTAGTTCCTATTGACAACCTAGACAGGATCTAGTTACTTTGCTAGATCATAAGCACATAAAAATTTTTGGACATCAATTCTAGGTGATATAATTTTGTTCTTTCCCAAGCTTCCCCAAGAAGGAATCAAACTTCACAATCACAACAGAGTTTCAGAAATATCAACTATACAACTACTGTGAAGTTAATCTCAATAATCTTGGTAAATCATGGCCATGAAAAAATTCCAGGGTGATGTCTTACCAGTCAGGCCCTCACAACTAGCATTTACCTGTTGCTCATGACTCTCAGGTGCGTACTTTTGGACCTTCTGGTCTTTGCTGGTATACAAATACATGAGCTCCAGACACCTGATGAACATATGTCGTGCTCTGCCAGTTGCTCTATCTCATACTGGTTAAGGGATACACTCTTCCAAATGACCATTCCTTCAAAACAATGTTTACTCTCCTCCTGGAATCTGGGAGTAAATCATTATGAAAGACTTTTGTCTGAACAAGGATTGCATGTCCCCAAAATCCCAACAATGATTAGTGATTGCCACCTACTCACCTACACAGTAAGAATTCTCTTTCTTCATACTCTCAACAACCTTGTGCTTCTGTTTGATATCTGAGAAAATTAGAAATTTATTCTCATCACCCAGGCTTTGTTCCATGCCAATGAAAATAGCAAATTTGGTTTGTCAGGAGTTCCCCTTGGAGGTCATTGCCAAGATTTCCACATAGGAGGTGATCTCATGGGAAACTTTGTTGTAAATCCCCAACATCAACACGTGAGGCAGATGGCTCAACCCTGTGAGGTTTCAGCAGAGCCTCTCAGACCTCTTGCTTTCATTTGTAAAATTCAAGACACTGAACAGGGACCAGTAAGGCTGACAGGACATCCTTCTTCCATAATTCAATCATTTCATCTAACTTCCTAATTTTAGGCTAGTCACTGGTCACAAGAGATGTTATTGTGCCACATATTTGGTCCTAGGGGAAGTCTGCTTGTGTTTATTTTGTTTTCTTCTAGATAGCCTCAAATACAACATGGAAAACCCTGAGCCTAAAAATTAGGGGAATTACGTAAAGTTCATCTGGAAGTCAGCACAGACTTAAACCAAGTCTCTCATTCTTTTGGGCAAGATGAACTGGTTAATAATTCTCAAAGAGTACTGGTGTCAGCTTGGAGGGAGGTCTCTAATAAAAAAGCCACAGGGTTCTCTCTGTCTTTAGATGTTGCCTTAGTCGAAAGTTTCACCCTGCCACAGACAAGGACATGGATGGCATGCTTATCAAATCCTATGAAATTTATTCAGCATATGAATCCAAGAAACAGGACACTTGACATCCAACTCTGCAATATACTTCGGAGAAACAATTTAAGCAGCGTCTGTTCAACTTCCAGTAAAGATAAGATTTAGTTGCATATGAAGAGTAATTATCAAAAGATTTACACTGCCTGCAGTTGTTTTGTTTTCTTCTTCATTCTCATTAGTATCTTTTGGGGGGGGGCGGGACTACTAAAAAGTATATGCAGTCTTGAGATCACAGTAAGTGGCCATAGTAGGTAGTTCCAGCAAATTACAATGAGCCACTTCCTACCATCTTAAAGGAACACCCTGAAATATCACACAGTGCTCCTTGGCACACAGAACAAAAGATTAATAAAGTCCTTGCAGGTAAGTTCAAATCCTGTAGCTCAAAGGTCATAGAATTTTAGAAATATTTTAGAAATTACGTAGCCTACATGTTCCATTTTACAAATGCGACACTTTAAAGCTAGAGGATTTCCATGACTTTTGAACGCCCCACTGCAATTCAGATTTAGAGCCTGAGTGAGAACCCCACTTCTTCCTTATGCCTCACTCCCTTCATGCTCCAGAATGACTGACTCAATGCCTCCTCGGAAGTAGGCCGCGCTTTCCTTTCTGCATCCCTTCCTCTCTGCGAGCCATTCACACCAGCATTCCCACAACCACAATTGTGGTTTCCCCTGTCTAGAAATCCTACCCTGTTGCTATGGAAACGGTTCCCTAATCATCCTCCAAGACCCAGCTCAAATGAACTTTGAGGAAACTATTTACTCCATCAGAGTTAGTTGCTTATTGTTCATTTTGCCCATATTATGTGAATTTTCAGACTGGTTTACATTCCCGTCTCTCCTTCTGGAGCTGCTAGGAGAAGAATTAAGTGTCAGCCATCTTGAATCCCCAGCCTCAGGTAGAGCCCGGTATATAGCCACGTATGTAGTGGACAATAAATGGCCAAATTAAAACAAGCAAATAAACAGTAACAACAATAAAAACAACCTGAGGCCAGGCCTCACTCCATAAATCTGTAGAAGCCACAAAGATAACACGACACAACTTTTGCTCTCAAGGGGCTTACAATCCAGTGGAAAAGTCACTTACAACTTCTCAGCAAATATTCCCTGATGAATTAACGTGATTTAATTCCAACTCTCCCATATTGATAGGCTATTATAAAATTCAACTGATCTTGGTGTGTTTTGTGGAGCAATCACTTTTTATCTTGACTAACAGGACTTCCTACTTTGTAGTCTGACTTCTGCATTTCACTGCATTTATCACAGCCCCCAGGGCTGGGCTCTCACCATAAAGTTGTGCAGAAAACATGATGGGAAAATTCACTCACACACATTAGAAGTGTCCCCCATGATAAACCATTGTATTGGCCTGGAGTGGGAAAATAGGCACACATACTGTTAGATGGAGTATAAGACAGTATAATCTTTCTATGGGGCACCTGGGTGGCTCTGTCGGTTAGGCATCCAACTCTTGATCTCAGCTCAGATCTTGATCTCGGGGTCATGACTTCAAGCTCCGTATTGGGCTCCAGGCAGGGAGCCTACTTAAAAAAAAAAAAAAAAAAAAGACAGTACAATCATTCTAGCGGCCAACTTGAAATATGCATCAACATTTTAAATGTACATCTCTTTTTCCTAGCATTTCCACTGCTAAAAATTTACCCTACGAACATATCTGCACAAATCTGCAAATGTATATTCGTTGCAGCAATGGTTGAAATAATATAAATTTTTAAATGGTTACATCCATACCCTGGAATTCCATGCAATCACTACAAAGAATACAAGAGATTAAATGTGCTGAGGAGAGACATTTGATATATTATTAATTCAAAATTCAAAGCACTGAAGGGTATTGTTTAGGATTATCCCATTTGTGTAAACAAACAAACGATACATATATTTGTATATGTATAAAAATTACTAAAAGGATATACCCAAAATATTAACAGAGGTTATAACAATGGATGGTATAGAAGTCAGAAAGAAACCAGAGAATTTTATTTTTTAGTTCACACTCTGGCAGTGTTTGAATTATTTTACTATAAAATATATGATTTTTATGATTTCTAGAAGTGTCTTCCATCTTCTTACCACCTTCTTGTTTTATCTATTTCAGTTTAGCCAACTAGATTTTCTCAGGACTGAAGTTATTTATTACATAGTAACTCTGAAAGTCATATGCATCTCCCAAACTTACTCTCTCTAAACCACTTTTACACTTTAAATATGACCTTTCAGAGGTCCTTAGCTTATTATTAAACAGATGAAACCATCAGTACATGGACTCCCCCCACCCAATCCAGGAATTGAATTACAAAAGTACATTAAAAAAAAAAAAAGCTAACTCAATCGCTGTCAGTGAAAACATCAACAAATGTTAGCAATGCCAGTGTCATGATGCAGGAGGTCAAAGACCCATGCACTCTGCACCAGGAGTCACAATGGGACTTAACTGGGCCAGTTCCGGTTCTGCCGTTAGGACCAGGAGCACTCCAACCTCAATGAAAGTGCATAAGACACCGCCATTATCCCCGGATCACTGCCATGGTAGCCCCAAACAACTCCAGTCTATCGTGTCAATGTGTATTTGGGGAGTCTTTAATGCACGGATCATTGGCAAGCTGCACCATCAAAGCCCTGTAGGAGCCACAGCCGAACGTGGAGTCAGTGCACACTCGGGGACGCCCCCATGCCTGGATCATTTGCAGTGCATCGTGTCAATGCATACTCAGGGAGCCCTTACTCTGCAGCCTGTGCATGCTGAGGGACAATGTACACCAAAAATCCTTATGAAATAGTAGTTACAGTGCATACACAGTATTCACTCTTCTAAACGGCATGTCAGCAAGTTTAGTGTGCGACAAATAACTCCTAAAAGGCACAAAACACTCCTAGAGGCCCAACTACACACACAGACAGCTGGTCCACGGAATTGTGGCATGACTGGGGCGGGAGTGTGGGGCTCTCTTTACAGTGAACGAAGCGAGAGGGACAGCTAGTTCACGCACTCTAAGCCCCTGCTTCTACTCAGTGTTTCAATAATAATCCCAACGATTTTCTAATTATTGTCCTGGGCGTCTGATACTTCCCTCTCTCCCTGCCCTGTTCCAAAGCACCTGCAGAGTCAGGTGAGAGGACATGGCTAGAGGAAATCTCCTTAGGGCTTAAGGCTCTAGCCCGGCACTGTCCAACAGAAATACAATGTGAGCCACAAATGGCATTTTACATGTTCTTTGTAGTCACACTTTTAAAAAAGGTAAAAAGAAACAGAATTAACAGATTTTAAATAATATATTTTACTTCACCCAAAATACTATCTTTTCAATATCCAAGCAATATTTTTAAATAATTGGGAGTTTACATTCTTTTTTTTCATAGAGACTGTATTTTGCACTGACGGCACATCTCGGTTTAGACTAGCCACATTTCCAAGTGCTCGACAGCCACAGGCGGCCAGTGGCCGCCCCAGTGGACGGCACAGCCACAGAGGCCCAGGAAAATGAATCCCAGGAGCTTCAGTGTTCGCCGGCAACGACCTATCTCAAAGCAAGTGTGTGTGTCTTTCCACCTCATTTCCTTACCAGCGCTGCTGCACGAGCTGAATAGCCTCTTCTTAGCAGCCAGAGCGGGTGGCTCTGTTCCGCAAATATGCATTCGGAAAGGGGAGAAAAACTACTTTAGGCCAAAGTGACAGTGCCAACAGTAGGTCCTCCTTCTTGGAGATGGAAGAGGACAGGGGGAGCTGCTGGGGGAAGGAAAAAGGAGCGGGCAAGGTGCCAAGTGTGAGGGTGGCGGCCTCACTGCCACTTCTTCCCCAAACGTGCTGTCCGCAGGGCAGCGGGCCGTGCGTCCTGGGGGCCTGTGGGGTCACCGACAGCCGGCCGGGTGGGGGGTCGCTGGTATCGAAGGCCGAGTCTTCCCAGAGACACAAAGGGGGAGCGAGGCGGAGACAAAGGCGCGGGGAAAGAAAGGGAAGAGGGCAAGGGCGGGGTGCGGGGCTGCGGGCGGGGGGGGGCGCGCTAGGCGCGGGGCTGCGGGGCTCCGGGCCGCCGAGCGCGGGGCGGGGGCCGCCGGGCAGACAAAGCGCCGGCGGCCGGCGGGAGGGGGCGGGCGGCGCGCGCTCATCCGGGGATTCGCGGGCCGGCCTGCGGCGGGGGGCGGGAGGCGGGAGGCTGGGCGAGGCGGGCAGGTCTATTTGAATATCAGGCTCTGCCACACTCCGGGCGCCGCTGACAACTTCATTACCTCCGCGTATAAAAATGACTGCCGGCGAATGCAAATGGCTCGCCCGTCTCAGCCCCCTGCCTCCGCTCTGCCGCCGGCTGCGGGCGGAGGCCCCGCGAGCCGCCGCCCGACCGGACGAACGGCCCGCGGCAGGGCCGGCTCCTCCTCCCGCGCCCCCGCGCCGCCGGGACCCGGGACCCCCGCCCGACGCCGGCTCCGAGGGCCGCGGGGGAGGCCAGTTTGGGAAGAGAAACGGGGGTGGGGGCGGCTGAGAACTGCTGATCTACTAAGATGTGCTCGTGAGTGTTAAGCAAATGCCCTGCCTCTTAACTGTCGTCTAATTAATGTATGGCAATGCCGGGAAGACAGTACTCGGTGGATGGGATTCGTAACCTTGAACCCTGTTGGAAGAGGTTGGACCCCACTGGTCCCCGCCCGCCCTGCCTGGTGATTAATTTGGACGAAAGCATCCCTAATGCCCCCATTTGCGCCTACTGAGCCCCCAGGGAAGAGAGTGTGCGGCTCCCTGCTCCCCAGGCCTTAGGGTGCACCTGCCACCAGGACGAGGCCGCATCACTGTGCGCGGCCTCTCTCCCAATCCCGGTGGGAATAGAGGCAAGTCTTGGACAGAAGGAAAAACAGTCCTTACAGAGCCTCCCTCCCTCCTTTGGCATATAGAAGGAGAGGAGAACTCACTCCCTAGTAAGAAGTCAACTCCTGCCTTATGACAGCTTCAGTTATTACATGGGGACTCCTTGTGAGCTCCTCTAGGGCAGGAGCTAGGTCATTTTTATTGATAACATCAACGATAGTAAACATCTGCTGAGGACTTACTATGCGCAAAACATTATGCCTACTCCTTTATCTAAATTTATTTTTGCCACAACAACCCTACTGCTCTCCTGAAAACGGGAGGCTTATGGAAGCCTTACAAGGGGCCCAGGGGAACCAACAGGAAGGGGTGGAGCAGGGATGGGAAAGTAGGCCTGCTCCCTCCAGAGCCTGTGTTCTCAACCACTCTGCAATATTCATTTTATGTGTCTTTCTTGCAGCTGACACTGCTGTTCTGCACCCCCTTCCTTCAACTCCCCAACTCCTCCAAGACAGTCCTCTCCCTTGTGGCCCAGGAGTAAATCCCAAATTGTTACAATCAACCCCTTCTTTTGTCAAGGGCTTGGTTGAGAAAAGAACATATGACCAGTCCTGGCCAATGTCATGGGAGGGGACATCTGCTGGGGCGTTCTGGGAAGTGCTTCCTTGCTCCAAAATAAGGGACACACAGAAGCCATTCCCGTTTCTTCTGCTGGATGATATCTTGGTGCTGTGTATGGTTTGGTGGTGTCTACCACCTGGTAACCATGGAGTAGCCAGGCAGCAAAACTACTTTTTGTGGAGATAGATTTGCAAGATTCAGTGATGAGGGCAGGCTGAATCCAAGGGCCCAGAGGGAGGGTCCCACAGGACCAGCCAAGAGGGTCCCTGGCTTCATACATGCTAGAAATCAAACGCAAGCCAGAGAAAGTGAGAGCAGTTTATTGACTGGTGTGAGTGACAGAGGGTAGCAGACAGAGTGTCTGGGAGACTCAGGAAGGAAAGGAGAGTGAGTCTCGTCATCACTTGGGGTGAGGGGTTTATACTGGAGAGGGGTCTAGGGTATGTGTTCCTTCAGGAATCGAGGACAGGGTCCAGTTAAAGGCTAGTGTCAGGTGAACAATAGGTGTTATTCCATAAATTACTGAAGGTAGGGGTGTTGATGCCAGCGTCAGCTGAGGTTTGTTTGAAGCTAGTATCTGGGAACATGTTAGGGATCCGTCTCTTCTTCCATGTTTTGAAGCCTAAGACAAAGCTCGGAGAATGATTAACGGTCTTGCTTCCCCCTTGAAGTGGGAACATAGCTTCTTTGGCTTATTCAGAGGGAAAATATGGAACATGAGTAAGTAGGTCCTAGCAGAAAACCAGCAGAGATGGAGCCTTTCTAAAATGGAGTCCCTTCAGCTTCCTGACCTCCTCAGAACACTTAATAAGAGAGCTAAAGTTTAGGAAAGTCTCATTCTATTCCCATCTCTACCGGCAGTGAAATCATGCTGCCTCATGTTTATTCAGGGCTATATTTAAGTTAATTCCTTTTTGGAATGAGAGAAAATATGAAGAAGTAAACAAATGAAAAACCCCAGAAATTTGGTCATGTCTCTTCCCTGTTCTTTTTCCCTTTCTTCATCAGTAAAATAACTGAAGAGGGTCTGCTCCAGACACTTAAAATGGAACCTCACACTTCCAACTCCTCTTCCTGGGCCCTCACCTCCAACCTCATT